TACCTATACCACCAATGTACCTATGTATGAAACTTTTTATTAATTGTATACTGAAGCATATATATGCACACGCCCTTGTTTGGCCACGTCAATACCACATATTCTCCATTAATATATTCCCGATGCAGCCCTTTCAGGAAGTCGCCAGGGTTGTGTTGTTCTAAATAGGTGCGGGTACCGGACGACACCCGATTTGTCATATTAAGCCGTCCGGGTGTCCGGGCCCTGCATTCACCTGTCACCTGCCGTTTCATTTGAGACGTAGACAATTTTCTGTAAAACTTGCCTTTGTTATGACCATCCATAAGTCTCACGGCCAAACGCTTAAGCGTGTTGGCATTTTTTTACCTGAGTCTGCATTTGGACACGGTCAACTTTATGCTACCTGTTCAAGAGTTTGTGAAAGAAAGGACCTAAAATTAAAAATAATGGATGGTTCTCTGCAAAGCGAGCTTAAAAATGATGGAAAGATCTACACGAGAAATGTTGTGTACAAAAAGATCTTTGGCATGTGAATTAACATTTTATTATTTAAACCACCTTTATTTATTGAGCTCGCTGTGGCTCTTAAGAAAGGTACCGCCAGTGGTTTCCTTCACTGCACTCTACTTCAAGCAATTAAGCAAGGGGGAAACCACGTGGGGCAGTAAGCAAAGGGGCGTCCTCGCCGCCTGCCCTGCGTAATTCAGTTTGAATCAGCAGACACCTTTGCACAAATAATTTTAATTACAATTTATAATATTTAGAACAGCGGTCATTTCATATGACCGCCGGGCTTTCCAGTTATACAATAAGGAGGAAACCTCACTCTGGAGCTAGATAGAAAATGATCCCAAAGATTTTGCCAGCTTCTTTTGTATGATAGCAAAGACATAGACAAAATTCTAAACTTTAGCACTGAAAAGGGAAGACAGGTTTTAAACATAGCACATATTTTTTTCAAGGAAGAAACATTCAAAAGCTCTTGCAAACAGTTTTGTCAGTTGTATTCTTTGCATGCAAATTTGGGTAGCTCAGTGGACAAGTGATGTCTGTCTGTAGTATGTGCTCTGATATCCAGTAAAGAGAAGGAACTTTGTTATAACATTTTTCAAGTATTAAAGGTAAACGCTGGGTAGAATCCGAAACACATTATAATGGATTTTGGCCAAGCTCAATGAATATCTTAAGATGCTTATTTTCCAATACAAACATGAAAAGATGCAATTATCATTTTACAAAAGCACTGTGGCGAAGCGTCCAAGACACTGGCATGGCAAATCTAGTATATCGAAGGAATGAAGAAATTCGTCTAAGCGTAAGAATGTGCGCAGCATTATCAAGGCTTCCTCAGTAACTTGCAGATGAACGCTGGTTAATAAAAGATAAAAATTGCCCACAGGAATCTAAGTTAAGAAAATTCTTTAAATATTTTGTCAACAAATGGCTGGATAACGGAAATGTTCCCTTTGAAGTGGGGAATTTGAATTCCTTTGAAGAGGAGAAAAGCGGAATACATAATACTGGTAGAAGGTTGGAATCCCAGACTGAATCATACATTTGTTTATATAATGCTGACAGCAATACATATTACAATATTATGTGGATGATATAAATGTATTTTATCATTCCCTGCGTACGGGCTCGTAGTAAATTGAATGCACAAGTCCGACGAAAAGTGAATAAAATTTATTCTTATCATAATAAATAAGACAAAATGTTGAAATTTCTTCAGAGATAGTCATAAAATATCGCAATATCTCACAGTAGTTGTTGAAACTCTCACCGACAACCACGTGATTTGCGCATGCGCGCAGCAAAAACTAAAACAGAACTTTTTTAACTGAACTTTGAGAACTCGTGATTGACGTTTGAGTGAAACATGTAATCCTTCTCTTCTGTGTTATATATATATTTTAGTTTAGTGATGTGATTATAAATTAAATATCTTATTATCTTAGAAGCCTCTTTCTTTCTGTGAGTAGTGCATCGATGAATGAAATTAAAATATTCCCGGATATGCCTTTGGATTAGAAAGAAGATCGATTAAAAAGGTAAGTCTTTTTACCTTATAAGAATGATTATACTGTTAATCATATCATGAACATTATACATTTTTTGGCATCCCTGCCGGGATGAAAGCGAATTGTTGACACTTGTTGAATTATTGAATATTAAATAATGATTGAATTCATCGATACATTGAAAAGGAAACGCGGCCACAAAAGGGCTGCCGTTACAAAATTAATTGTACCGAATTTTGACACTATAAATGCTGAAAGAAAGAAGACAATAATTTCTGCAGTTAATTCGAATGTTATGACTGAAGTTAATTTTGATAAGATTTCTTCGTACAATACCATTCTAAAGATAATATCTTGGATCTTCCGTTTTGTTAAAAATGTCAGACTAAGTCCTAATGAAAGAACTTTTGGAACAATTACAGCGAGAAATTAAAGGAGCCGAATTAACTCTTTTGAGATTAGTGCAGAGTGAATTATTTTCTGGATTACATGACAAAAGATTACGTGTACTTCAACCAATGATTGATTCTAACGGAATCCTTAGGGTTAAAACCAAAATTCTGAGAAGAGATGATACAGAAAATTTTCGATTTCCTATTATTCTTCCTTCAGATCATCCTATTGTAGTAAAATTAATTAGAGCTAAACATGAAATGAACAATAATGCAGGAGTACAATTTTTAATATCCGCTTTACGAGAACAATATTGGATTTTGAAAACACGAAAGACTGTCAAGAAAGTCATAAGAAGCTGTGTTGTATGTCAGAGGTTCGATACTAGTTCTTCGAAAACACCCATTACTCCTCTCCCTGAAGACCCAGTAAGAGAAGCAGCAGTCTTTGAGATTGTAGGTGTTGACTTGACTGGATCGTTGATATTGAAGGGAAATCAAAAGTCATGGATAGTGATTTTTACCTGTGCTGTTTTTCGCGCAGTACATTTGGAATTGATTTTCTCGCTATCAACTGAAAGTTTTCTGCAAGCGCTGAGACGTTTCATTGCTAGACATGGAAGACCCCACACCATCTATTCCGACAATGGAGCGAATTTCAAAGGAAGTGATAGATTATTCAAAAGCTTAAATTGGGATAAAATCTTAGAACAAGCTAGTATCCACCGGATCACATGGAAATTTCTTCCGTCATCAGCTCCCGTTGGGGAGGATGGTGAGAGCGATTAATAGGAGTCCTGAAAAGAATCCTTCGCAAAGTTTTAGGACGATCATCTCTGAATCATGAAGAAATGATAACAATTTTGTGTGATTGTGAAGCAATAATGAATAATTGTCCATTGACGCATGTCTCGGAAGATGTTGAAGATTTATCTCCGATCACACCTTCCATGTTTCTCCATGAGATTCGACAAATTGGAGTTCCTGATCTAGATAATATAGATGCGAAATCTTTAAACAAAAGGCTTATTTATAGACAAAAACTTTTACAAGATCTACGTAAAAGATTTCGAATCGAATATCTCGGACAGTTACGGCAAAATTATGAACATGTAAAAGCTTCACAACCTCTGAAAATAGGAGATCTTGTTTTAGTGTCCGATGATAATAAGAAGCGAACAGACTGGTTATTGGCGAAAGTAACCGAGATTTTCAAATCTCGGGATGGACATGTGCGTTTAGTTAAGGTCAAGACTAAGCTTGGAGAAGGTTTGCGACCCACCAAGCGTTTGTATCCTTTGGAGATAACATCATCAGATGAATAGTCTAAATTTAGAAATGTGACAAGCAGCTCTTCTGATGAAACAGAGACTTACTGCGATCCTGATATTCGTAATGACTCCCCTCAAGATCTTAAGAGCGAAAAGATTCCATCGATGACTATAAGAAGTGGTTGAACGGTAAAGCCTGTTCAAAGGTTACAGTTTTAAATTTGATTTTTCAGCAAATTTAAAGGTGGGAGTACGTTGAAACTCTCACGGACAACCACGTGATTTGCGCATGCGAACAGCAAAAACTAAAACAGAACTTTTTTTAACTGAACTTTGAGAACTCGTGATGGACGTTTGAGTGAAACGTGTAATCCTTCTCTTCTGTGTTATATACATATTTTAATTTAGTGATGTGATTGTAAATTAAATATCTTATTATCTTAGAAGCCTCTCTCTTTCTGTGAGTAGTGCATCGATGAATGAAATTAAAATATTCCTGGATATGCCTTTGGATTAGAAAGAAGATCGATTAAAAGGTAAGTCTTTTTACCTTTTATTTTATAAGAATGATTATACTGTTAATCATATCATGAACAGTAGTTATAGTTTAAACTACTAAAACGTTTTACAGAACACAATTCAAAAGCGCAAGAGAAACCTAATCCGATAATTAATAATTTCACCGCGAATTCGCTACAATGAAATAACAGAAAAAACTGAATTGAGATGTTTTCCTCCAGCCTTTAAAAGGTTTTTAAATTCACGAGAACATTCTCGTATTTTCTCGATTTTTCTGGATAGCAAGAGTACAATTACGAAATATCCATTTATTAAAATGTTAAATGCGCGTGCTCCTGTATTTTAATTTTTCCTGCGTAGCTTTCTCTTCAATAAGTCTCGTGCTGCATTGCACGGGAATATAAAAAAAAATTAATTACAAATTCTACTAAAAATCGCTAAATAAATACAAAAACCGTAACATTATTAAAATATTTTAATATTTGTGACATAAAATAAAAGCAATGGCAAAAGTATTAAAGCTATCGAAGTACTACTAAGTAGAGACTTCGATACTTTAATAATTATTCACGTTTCACGCTCATAAACCAGTTATAAAAATAATATTGAGCTTTCAAATGATTCAAATCCCCCGACAACGAATGACACTTCCAACGCACTAAGGTTGTTATACAGGTGGCGTTAGTGAGTAAGCACATCAGTACCACCAACAGCTTTCGCGAGAATAAACATTTCAGTTCAAACATGCATTTTATGAAGTGTTTCATATTTTTGTCTAAACCCTGTATATACTAATGGTTAAAATCTTTTCATACCTTTTATATCCCAAGCCTCTCCACTGTCAGTCCTGTAGATGTAGTGAGACTTTTGGCCAGCTATTATACTGTCAACTCTGCCTCTTCTCTCCAGAATGTCATAATACTCAGTATAATAATCGGTTTGGTTCTGAAATATAATTAAAAATACATCATTTTTAAATAATGAATAGTGCCAGTAGAGACCGAATGATAATAATTCTGTAGCATGCGAAACTGTGTTTGCAAAAAATTTTGAAAATGATATGATTTGAACCAGTGGTCTCAAATTGGCGGGCCACATCCAGCTCCTGAAATAATTTCATGCGAATACATTTGAGGTATATATCTGTTGAAGTATGGTGTTGCAAAGATTTCAAAATGTGAGTTATCTGAAGTCCGAGTTTACGTTATTTTCACTACCATTAAAAACGAACATGAATAATGAACGAGAAAATCTATAAATGAAGCTAATTAATTTACAATATGATTTGAATCTTATTCAAAGATTTGAAGATAAAAATTTTATTAGCTTTTATTCGTACTTGTCAAAAATTAAATACACCCAGTTACGAATTTCCGATGCACTCGAGGGCTATCTGCCTAAGGGGATGGGTGCCTTCGTAGAGGACTTTAGAAACTGGTTCGTATACACGTTATAGTACGTAGCAAAAATCACGAAAACGCCCATGCAGCCAATCCGTTCACTGGGATTCTAAACGCAAACAGAACTACCAGTGTTCAGTGACTTTACCGCTCGACCGTTGATGAGCCTAATAAAAATCTGATGTGTCAACCACATGACTTCCTTGTACGGAATATTAAATTATACACATTTTTTCTTGCATTTCATTTAAACTTATTGGATTGAATTAAATCTACTTCGCCGAAAGCGCATAAACCACAATAGAATAAATGCATTCTTTAAAATTCACTCTATTTGTTTACCTAAGCGACACTGTGGCGATAGGTTCACTTAACAGTATTATATTTCGTTCATATCATAACTCAGAATGCACAAAATTTATATCATTTAAAGAATTATCTAATCGTTGCCACATGTTCTATTCAAATATTCTATTCAAATAAAGCTAGAACGATAAAAGAAATTAATATAATAAATTGTATAAAAGAAACTAAGCAAACAAAACAAAAAAGAAACAGTTTTTCACAGATGATTGAGTATTTTTCATTCAATTAATTCAGTTCTCACTTCGCGACAAGGCAAAAATACATAAAAACTCAAAATATCTGTATTAAAAATTAGGTAGTAAATATTTAACACTTATTTCCCCGAACAAATTCCAGAAAGGATTAAGCATGATTTAATTCGCAATAATAAATGAAGGCGTTATCTTTGTTGTTGAAAAGCTAAGTTTCTCTAGATTGGCAACAAATCCACTATTCAGCTGTTTCAAATGTAAACAAGCAATGGCCACCATTAAAAAAATTATTAGGCTTAGCGGCACTTAAACAACTTTAAAATTGTTGATAATTCAAAAAATATTGCATACAGATTTACTAAAGGCATAAAAACCTTAACCGAAAGATAAGAATAACATAATTCAATCATTTTTTTAAAGCAAAAAAAATGTACAATTTACAAACATATAAGAGTAGAGAAACTGAGATCATTGAACCGGGTAACAAAGTAGATATATATATATATAATACGTTTGGTGCTGCCGATTGCAACCAAAATACGAGTTGCACATCTACTATATGTTATACCAGTCCTATATACAAAATTTCAACGTTCTGAGGCTATTCGTTTTTGAGTTATGCGAGATACGTACGTACAGACGCCACGAAAAATTGTCTTCAGAATTCATTTTAAAGTAGTTTTATAATTTTTTGGAGGAAAAAAGTCTTTTATTCTGTCCTTACGTACATATGTCACGCGAAAACATCGTTAAATTGCATTCGATAGCGATCAAAATGGATATTTTCATTGAAATATGCTGCTTGAAACTTTTCGCGATTACAATACTTCCTTTTTACTTCGTACAAGGAAGTAAGAAAGGGACTCGATTGACTGACGACCATCTACAATCGTGATGAAAATAATTTCTCGTAATATCTCTGCAAGACTACAAACTTTATCGGAATCGAAACGCCGTCAAATAGCAAGCCGTAGTAAGAAATAAAGACATATATAATTATTAACAAACAAACATATTTTTACGAATTTCGTATTTATATAGCTAATTTTAGTAGAATAATTTAAATTGTTTTATTTCCTCGTGCAATGCAGCGCGTGACAATTTTTAAGAGAAATTTATGCCGGAAAAGTAAAACTGCAGCAGCACGAGCATTTAACATTGAGTAAATGGATATCTCGGTAATTTGTATTTAAACTGAATAAATGTAATTGACTACTGTGTTAACTGTAATCGTAATTGCATCCTGTTATTGCTTTCCAGAAATCTCGAGAAGCAGAAAATGCTTCTCGAATAAATAATAAGTCACTGAAATAATGAATAAATTGGAGTCACTGACGTCACTGAGAAGCACAAGCAAGATATGCAGTTAGCCGACACTGTAAAATTTTGAGATGTCTACGTTGATGACCTGCGTAATATTAAGCTAGAAAGAAGAACTAAGGTGGCTAGATTCTGCAAAAGGATTCTAGAAAAGGAGAAAGAGCAAAGGTCTAAATAGCTATCTTTCTAAAGAACATGACTCTTGCTTTGATACCCTTGCAAATCTTTTCGCAGAATTTTGCATGTTTAGAAAAAGCCTGATCAAAGGTAGTCGCCGAGCGTCTATTAAATTGTGTCCTTAGGAAGATTGTGGAACTAGAGGTGAATGAGGATGACATTCAAGAGCTATTCAAAGAATTTACCCAGGAGATGACCACCGATGATCTGATGGATCTTCATCGCGAGCAACGTCACGAAGTTAAAGTGGGAATTTCATCTGAATAGGAAGACAAAAAGATGGAGGAATCCTTCATTTTAAAATAACAAACATGTTTAGCTCCTGAAGAAAGAGGCCTGCGTTGCGTCTGATCGCCTGATAAAATTTTATTCAAAATAAGTTAAAATAAGTTTTTTTGGCTAATCTTTGGAATATAGTAACCAGGTAGTTTGGCGACATTTTGATAAGGAGATAAAGATTACTAGCTAGGACTTTAGCAGTGTACATGGATAAAGCAAAGAGTGTGCACAATGCCATTTTTGTGCAATTCTGAGATGTTTTTTTTAAGTGAAAATAGGTCGACGTGTACATGGATACCGTGTATGTGCAATTCTTAAAAACGCGGCAAGCAGCGGGAGATTCTGCCCTTTCTCCCAATTTCGCACTTAATATTCGTCATGATTAAGCACTTTTGTTCCATAAAATTTCTAGCATAAGCGTAATTCGGCTAGCAGATTGTTGGAAAAAAAAAATGCCTTTACTTCGTAAAAACAAAATGGCGTCCCCCCCAAAAAAAACTAGCAGGTTGCTGTAGCAGGGTAAATCGCCAAATTTTCGCCAAAAAATCGCCAAGTTACCATAATCTAAAGATTAACCTTTTTTTCCCCCCCTAATTTTAATGCTAATATTGTTTAACACATCATAATGATTTAGAAGCTCGAAAGCTATTAATTATTAACTGAAAACAGAATAAGGTCTGGCTATCAAAATACACATTTTATAGAAAGACTTTCGTTCTCGAAGTATTATACATTCAGTCAACCCTCGATTATCCTGAAGCACTTAACTAAACTGTGGATTAACCAGTTCTTTCTTAAAAAAGAACCTAAAAAGTTCATTTAGCAAATTTTTTCTCCTCCATCCATTATTGAGAAAATCCCCCAAAAGGTTAATTTGTAGCGCCTTTAGAGGAAGCTTTTCTTTTGTTAATTTATCAAGTGGCATTGATTACGAAAACAATGTGAATCACCGATCATTTTCCAGAATCAAAGATAAATAATTTATTTTTGTAGATATGTTGTTTTCTCTCAGGTACATATATGTACATATCTGTTGGTGTGAACAGGGAAATTCTGGAACTATTTGTTCGTTTATAAAGCAAAAATATGTGAGAAAAATTCACAAAAATTTGTTTTAACATTCATTAAAAATTTTAAATCGAATTTAGAAAAACTTCTCTCTGAAGTGCATAACTTCAATGTCCGCATAGCATGTGTGCCAAGTTTCGTAATTATGGAATTATCCAGCTCTGTAATATGTAACGAATTCCCATACTTGTTGAAATATTCTTAATCTGATAATAATAGAAATTAACTTACTACGCCAGGAAGTGTATACTCGACGGTCATTTGATAAGACTCTACTCCTTCAGCTTCAATATCTGGGAAATCGACATCTGAAAGTGGAAAAAAATACAAATAGATATTATACTTAGAGTATAAATAAAACAAACATACAAAAGTGCGTTTATTCAAAACATTTGTAAACAGTAAGTGTATAAAATAAGGTTAACGTAAAAAATATTTTCTCCTTTAAAGAACGCTCTGCCTTCAATCTTCCAAAAATTCGCGCGGATGATTAGTGTTATCTAAAGTGTTTCTTTGTCGACAAATTTTTATGTCTGCAAATGGTTTACGTAATTACTAAAATCGTTATAAAACCATCAAATGAGTGTAATGATTTTTAGTGTTATTAGTTTGTTGTTGGCCATTATTGGCTGTCTTAAGTTTATTTATTATTGAAGTGCCTCATAGTGTATCTTCAAAATTTTTACAGGTACATCTTACAAACACAAACAGAGGGAGAGAGAGACACTTTTATATCTCCCGTTCCACTGCCCCAATTGATGAAATTTAACTTCGAACGTTCTTCATGTCTCGAAAGCGTGACTCAGGGCATACAAGATGAATCTGAACAAGAGAGCAAAACTTTAGAGGCTGATAGAAGACAACTATATGAGAAGGTTACAGCCGAAAACATCGCGGCAAAAACATCGCAGACGAAAATGTCGCGGAGAAAACAACGCAAGGCGAAAACGTCGTGCTACAAAACATCGTGGGAGAAAACATCGCAAAGAGAAAAGATCGCAAAGAGAAAACATCGCAGTTCTAAAACATCGTGGTACAAAACATCGTCGTCGAAAATAAAGCGGTTCAAAACATCGCAGTTTAAAAACATCGTCGTCGAAAATATCGTGGTAAAAAATAATGTATCTACAAATCATCGCATGACATAACATCGCAGACATGCTTTTTTCAGGCATGCTTTAATAAGTGTAAATGGATATTCCCATAATGATTTGTGAGCGCAAGATGGAAAGAAGGATAATTTTGACTTTCATATTTTTTATTAATTAATAAATTTTTGCTGAGAAAATAAAAAGGAAACTTAAGCATAAAAAATTAATGCAACTTATAGCACTTAATAGAATTTTAAACAGACATAGTTAACTAACAAAGGCCATTAATAAATCATTTTTATAAAGTTTTTACTGGTAATATTTCATGAAAAGTATAATTTATAAGTTACATTTAATTTTCTATGCTTAAGTTTCCTTCTTATGTTTTCAGCAAAAATTTATTAGTTAATAAAATATGTGAAAGTAAAATTTATCCTTCTTTACACCTTGCGCTCACAAATCATTATGGGAATATCCATTTACAATTATTAAAACCTGAAAAAAGCATGTCTGCGATGTTATCGTCATGCGATGATTTGTATATATTTTATTTTTTACCACGATATTTTCGACGACGATGTTTTTAAACTGCGATGTTTTTGAACCGCTTTATTTTCTACGACGATGTTTTGTACCACGATGTTTTAGAACTGCGATGTTTTCTCTTTGCGATGTTTTGTAGCACGACGTTTTCACCTTGCGTTGTTTTCTCCGCGACGTTTTCGTCCACGATGTTTTTGCCGCGATGTTATCGGCGGACACCTATGAGAAATATTCGTCACAGAATGCATAGTCTGAACTCAAACGGCGAGTAGCTAGGTGGCATTGTAAATAAATGGTATAAAAAGGGTCAGTCCTCTCCCCAACGGCAAAGCTGGAAGTATGGCAAAACCTTCCTACTTCCAAAACCTGCGAAGGATATAAAAAAGGCGGAAAGCCACAGACCTAATAAGCCTTACGCTCAAACTTTGGAAAAATCTTTGAGAGAATTATTCTTTATGAATTTCAATCTTACTTGCAACTGCTACCTGATGAACAGTACTGGTTCAGAAGCAAATTGCCTACATCAAAGCAATTTCTTAGAATTCGCAAGCTCGTCCTTTCATCACAAGAGTTGCACTGCACTGCGCATGTTGGACGTGGCCAAAGCATTTGACCGCGTCTGGCATGAGGGATTAATCTACAAATTGATCAAGATGACCCCCCTCCCATAGAACTGATCCTGCTAACACATTCTTACATCACTAATCGATACTTCACGATAAGCAAGCAAAGTCACTCAGGATACAAGGCCACCTCGGCGGGTATCCCCCAAGGGTCCTGTTTAGGGCCTGTACTTTATCGCTTTTACGCAGCGGACTTTCCGCGCGCAAAACTTAACAGAAATACTTTACAGGCATGCTACGCAGACATTACCGCGCTAGCAGTCAGGTCTGTCCAATTAAATAGAGCAATCAACATACTAGGCTTGAGTGAGCTTTAATTAACAGTGTTGGTTGCAGATTTTTATGCTCTTGAAAAGGATCTTTCTAAGTGCGGAAATGTTTGGAACTTTTGGATGATACTTATATCCCCTGAAAGCTCATCCGGAGAGGAGTATATTGATACCAGAAACGTGATGGTGTGACAACTCAATTTGTAATTATTAGAATAATAAGGTGGTCATCTTAGAAAGTTCAAGATAGACAGCAGTTTCAAGTTCAGATTGACTAGAGTTACTAACTGGACACTTTATTTGTGTTTTTAATGTTTCAACAAGTGCTTTATGTACAACTATTGTACTCTGGAGCCCTGAGGATGATTACAGAAGTGTAACTGTCCAGAGAAATCAATGAAGTGCTGGTAAAACATAATTAACAAAGTTTGTTGACATAGCTTTATATAGACTTTAATATACCATATTTGATTATTTTCTGCATGATTTATAGATATTATTTTTGCTTTTCATATTTAATTGATATATTTATTGTCTATTTTAATTTATATTTATTATATTTTACTGATTTTTTAATAGTATTTATAATTATATTCAATTTTTACACAATACCAATATTACTTATGTCAGTTACGCTGACTTAGTCCATTATTCCCTCCAATTTACATATATTTGTTTCTTTAAAAGTTTGAAATTGATTTTTTAGTTGCCATTTCATAATAACCTCTTTTTAGATTTATTAACTTTCAATAATTTCACACATGTAAATATCATTTAATTTTGCTGTGCTACTTTGGTAGACCGGTTGCACGGATTTTGGCGATTTTTCTTTTGGCGAGTAATACAACTTATAGTAAACCCATTGCTAGATAAGTTATTTATGGTAACCGATACTTTGTTGTCATTTTATTAAAAATATAATGCGTTTTATTATGCATAAATTCCGTGTTTTAAATATTATTTATGGCTTCTAAATATTAAAAATCAATTAAATTTTGCATTTTCATATGAAATAAAAATTTTTGTTGTTTAAATATTTTGATATAATTTTATGTTGTGGATGATGTAATCAATGACGTCATTTTACTTAAAAAGTAATTGGTTTTATTAATATCTATAAATTTAATCTAATGTTTTAAACATTATTTATGGCTGTTAAATATTAAAATACAATTTAATTTTGCATTTGTTTTAAAAATGATTCTATTATGAATGATTATTTAAATAAATTTAATTCTATGCGTGATGTAATCAGCTCCCTGATTGGTTACTGAATATTTGTGCATTAGCGCACCATTTTAAAATTTTATTATTCATCTCTTCGAATTCCTCAGATTTCAAATGGAATGGATATTTCCGTTTCTAAGATGAATTGGGAATTACCAAGAATTATTGGTATTGGAATAAAAAATTGCCCTTTGAGTCCTTATTTTGGTCAACCTGTCTTTCCTAATCAAAGATTTATTTATAAATTGTTAATAGCGTCAGAGGAAATTTATTTTAAATTTTTGGAGGAAACCTCGCTAATTGCTTCTTCAACGAAGTGCGAGAAATGTAGGTCACAGATGAAGATGGTTAAAAGAGCCGATTCAATTATGATTCCGATATTCTTTTGTGGTACTTATCAATAAACAACAGGTTAAATGACTCAAAAAAATGTAAGTACATATTTTTCTTTTATTTTATAATTGTATACTTCAATTTTGTTAAAAAAAAATTAATACACTATTTTTAAAAAATTGCTGAGATAATTATTGTCACATATGTTTTAATGTTAATTATATTCTATATAACGTATCTTAAAGTATTTGAATTTAATAATATTCTAATCCGGTACTATTCGGTTTCGAGGACCGTAAAAAATCGCCAAACTACTGTTGATGCCAATACTGCCAAAAATAATTGCGGCAACCCTAATAATTGCGGCAAGAAAGGAAGTATAATAGTAAATAACTATCTAAGATTGATGTTTTAATTTAGATGAAAGGTTAATTTCATATAATACTTTTTTATTATTATAATTTACATAAAAAAGGCTAAACATGACTGAATGGAAGCATAAAATTAAATAACTATTTCAGATCATTATTATAATATATATATATGTAAAAAAACATAACTGAATGGATGCCTGCATCGCTATTTCGCTAGATCAGAGCGTACGCTAGATTTGGCGTGCAGTTAAATGGGCGCGTTTGCTAGATTTGGCGCTTTTGCGCAGACATTTTCGCTGTAATTTTTTACGGTCCTCAAAACGGAATAGTACTTCTAATTCTTTTAAATGTTGGTATGATGGTTTTTAATTCGATATTCAATTTCAGTAATATTTTAATCCAATTAAACGTTGGCACAATGTTCTTATAGTGGTGTTTTATTCTCTTTTTTGCTATATGAAAGTAATAATAACCTTACTTTAATATTTTATACTCGTAGTAAATGTATTTATTTACACTTGCCTGCCATCTTAAAAAACGACATTTTCAACAAAAAATTAATCCATTACTGTTAACGAAATTTATTTTTTTTTTTAAGTTTCGAATACTATGCGTAAAAACAGCGTTTTTCAAGATGGCTGACGATTGTAAAAATCGCGCCAACAATTGCGCCAACGTTAATCGCCAAAAATCCGTGCAACCGTCTACCAAAGTAGTACCTTCATTTTCTTTAAAAGTTTTAAATTGATTTTCTAGTTGCCATTTCATAATAACCTCTTTTTAGATTTATTAACTTTCAATAATTTCACACGTGTAAATATCGTTTAATTTTGCTTGCTTTAGGGTTC